AGTTGAATAAACAACTTGAGTAACTATAGTCATCACAATATCAACTTTATGACTTCACAACTATAGACATCCTTCATTCAGCTTTACAATAATAGTCATCTTGATAACTTTAAATCAACTTAATGCAACTCTACAACGTGAAACAAATTTACAACAATAAACTACTTCAACTTATACATATTGACTTTTTAATAATTCAAAACAATATACAATATGTAAACAATTTAGTTTCACCAAATACACAACATATAAACAACTTAAGCCAACAACTACTCAACTCATCTTCATCAGAAAACTTAACAACTTTGCAACCTTATAAACAACTCCAACAACTTAAGCACCCAAAATAACTTTCAACTTAATCAAATTACTTATTGTGAAATGACATCCTTCACATAAAATAGTGTATCGGGAGTTATACTACTCCTATCATGCTCATCCTTATCTCATATGAAATATAAGAAGATTTCCTAAGACTCTTATGAAGATATCAAGTCCTAATTCCATCATCTACTTTGTCAAAACTTATAAAAGCCGCAACAGCTATAACTAATGCTGACAGATTGACCCCTGTTCACTAAAACAGCCATATCTTGAGTTATAAACCTCCTTTTTAGGTGATTTTAATGCCATAGGAAAGCTAAGATCCAAGTCTAAAACTTTAATGAAGACCGCAAAATCAAATTCTAAAAGCAAAAAAGCGCTTAGCGCCTCCAAAAGGCTCAACGCTTTGCCTCCATGAATTCTCCCCTAGCACACAGCCCCCAAAGGGCTCAGCCGTTTCACCAAGCGCTCAACCATTCCCAACAGCTCAACCCTTTGCCTCCTGGGAATGCTCCCCTTTCATGTGGCCCCTAAAGGGCTCAACCCTTTCAAAAGGCTCAACCATTGATGACAGAAACACACAGGTTCTTCACCATTTTCCCCAAAACCAGAATGCAAGTGCACCTAATTCATATAAAATCATCAATGCAAGAAGATCCAACACACGAAATCATACATTTTCTGCACACAACCTAACATGCAACTCAGAAATCATCAGAAATACCACATGCAAACATCAAATAACACAATTCCATCACATTTTCAACTTTTCCCCAAAACCCATTTTAACAATCTGCACCCAACAACTTAACTATTTCCAGGAAAAACAAATGCATGAAGCTTCCCTAACCTCAGAGGAAGGAGAATCCAGTTCCGAGCTAAGGAGAAAGGAGAAGAAGAAGTTTTCACACGACTTCGGGGTTGAAGAATAACTACGGAACTTCAACGGATTCCTTGCACTACTATGGTTCAACAACTTGCAAATGAGACCAAAATTGTATCCATTTCAACTAAAGAGTGAAGAGTGAAGGAAAGAGGGGCGTTTAGACCATTTGAGGTTCAAAGAGGAAGAAAGAATGAAGAAAGGGAAGGAATAGAAATGAGAGAGGCGGAGGAGCAACACTACGGATCTTACAAATATCTTAAGATGATTAAGGAATCATTTAATATAAATTTTTTTTTACTGAAATATAATAAAATTACACAAGAGAATTTGTAAATACATTTTTTTTATGCCGAGGACCATAAAAAGTTTGCAAATGCTCTTTTCAACAAAAATATTTTACTTTTGATTCTTTAACCAATATTTTTAACACTTTTTAAAAACACACACACACATATATATATATATATATATATATAAATAAATAAGTGTAACTGACGAGTTATTTGAAGATTATTTATAAGATATACCATTAAAACAAAATATGTGCCATTTGTTTATGAATTACTGAAATATTACACGTGATATTGTGAGACTCAAAGTAAAATAAGATTAAAAAGAAGTATCTAACTAAACACACTATTGGAGATACTCTAAGATTTCATTATATCATCAAGCCGAGAAAGGTTTTAAACTAGACACTTGGTACCTGTTTTAATTTTTGTAATATTGAAGAAAATAATATATTCTTTATAACTTAGACTCTATTTAAAAAAAAAAAAACTAAATACACCGTTTGTTTGCTTGTTTTTGTATTTCCTTAATTTTGAAAGCCCATTTCTTCTTTTGCTTTTTAGACTATTCTTTTTTTAGTTGGATGAATATGAATTGTTAGGCTATTGGGCTGCGGTAACATGTTGAATTATGGAGTGCGAGCTCAATAGAAGAGTGGGAATGGGCTACATAGTTTATAAGGTGTCATCCAAAAATATCTATATTTAATAGATTCAAGCATTCTCAACTTATATATCCCTTGCTTTTCTTTATTTTATACAATATGGATTTTTTTTTTTATGTTTTTCGATAATCATTTGTTGAAATACTTTTTTTTAAAAAAAAAATTACAACTAATTGATTTACGTGTGGTGGTGTATAATTTTGTTTCAACTTTCCATATGCATACATGAAGTTTTTTCCGGTTGATCAATAATCATTTAATTTCCGTAATTTTTTTTATGAATATCTAATAATTCTCAATATTTTTTATTATCTTGAAACAATTTATAAAAGTTAACCCAATCCTTATTTAGTCAAACTAAAATGAAGCATGAGTTGCAATATCCAAGTTTGTTACCATTTCCAACAACTAAGTGGTACTTAGCATCATGTTCAAAGTATTCTAGAAGGTGACTGGTGTCATGAGTCACATGATTGCTAGCACCACTATATAAGTACCAATCAAGATCTCTAATTGAATTTGGACTTGTAACAAAAGCATTATAGTTTTAACCTTCAAGTTTCTCTTATTTTTCTTGGTGAGATTGTCCCATATAAACCTTGTCAAAGCGATAAAAATAGTGCACGAATGTATGTCCTATTCTGCCACACACTTGACATTTTGGAGAAACAACTTTGCCTCGTCCTCCTCTTGTGCCTCTTTGATTTCTCCTCTCCAACCTCTATTATTAAAGGATCTATTTCCCTTATCAGATCTTGTAGCAATATTTGTAGAAGTATTTATTGTGAGATTTGATAAATTGCTCAAAAGTTCAATCATGTTCTCAAAAGCAATAAATTGTGCTTGCATGCCAATCCATGTTAGATCAAGTTTATTAGAAAGTTTAATGACAATAGCATTATATCCATTATCTAGTCCAAAAAGTGTCTGAACTATGAGATCACTAGTTGAGATCGGGCTTTCAACAAGCTTCAAATTGTCCGCAAGATTCCTCATTTTTATCAGGTACTCCTTTGTCTTAAGTGTCACTTTACGGGTGCAATGAAATTTTGATTTAAGAAGCATGACTCTTGATCGAGATTGTGCTCCTGCTAGGCTTTGGCTAGCTTCCCAAAGCTTCTTCAAGGTATCATAGTGCAACAATTGAGTTGCAATATCATGTGTCATCGAGTTGAACAACCAACCAAGAAGTTGTTGATCATTTGCAATCCATTCTTCATAAGTGAGATTTACTTTCTTGTTTTCTTCATTGGTGAATTGCTTATTTGTGACTGAAATATAACTATACATTTTCTTTCCTTTAATCACATGGAGAAGTAATGATTGCCACAACATATAGTTGTTCCTATCTAACTTGACAGAGCAAGAGAAAGAGGTAAGGCCATTTTTATGGTTTGTGGTGGATTCCATAACGGATTTACAAGTGTGAGGAAGCGTGTTAGATCTTGACAACTCTGATACCAAGTGAGAAAAAGGAAAATAATGGTTTGATAATATTATTGATCGGATATGTGATACATATATATACACCTTTAATGATATGAAAAGATTATTGAGATCTCTAGAATTGTTGCTACAAATCAAGGATTACAAGGTAAAATATTAGAAGCAAATTATGAATTTTAAAACCCAAAATATATGGTTGTATATTTGTAGTAACTGATCACTTATCATTAATAATAAATAGTTACTGATAACTTATTAATTAGGCTTTAATAATATGCTTATTTCTTAACTTTAACAACACATTTTTTTAAATACAGTTTTTTAATTGATTAAAATTTATTAAAAAATATAATATTTGATGGTTTTACACATTATTTAATTATTATCTCTCTTAATTTTGTAATTTTCAACAAAATCGAAAATAAGTTAAGTGCGTTAAAAAATGTATTACTAAATACTCTTATTCTAGCTGTTTTAGTCACATTAATTAGTAGTTAACTAAAAGTGAGCAATTAATCTTAGAAAAAGAGGGACAAAAAACTAAAAAAAAAACTAATTAAATAGATACCAAAACTAATAAAAAAAATATTATACTTACAAGGACTACGAATATTTATAAACCGATTAATGAAGAAGAGAACACTTCTCCCCTCCAAACATTAGTCTGTCTATAATTTCTCATCAATTATGACTTTCCGAAAACTTCAATCACTAACCATTTTGCACCCAACTTACGAGTCGTAGAAATATTAAGTATTTTTTAAGTATGTTATTTGGTGTCAATTACCCAAAATAATAATAAAAAAAATCCGTTAATAGCCTCCTATTAGTTAAATATTTGCTGCAATAGCAATATCTGTCTTTATTTATTTATTTATTTATTTTTTATGTATAATAAACAAAATTTGTTTTTTCACATCAATCTGCTGTGGAGTTCATTTAAGGCTTACCTGAACTATATCAAAGAAAATTAAAACTTTAGTTTTAACTCGTCCGAATAAAAATAGGAAAATAAAAAGATTTATGAATTACTTGAATATTCAGGATTAATTCGTAAGGTGAAAGAGAAGGTAAGAGAGAAGTCCATATATATATATATAATCTTTGCATTTATAAGAAGTCTGACGAATAAGATTTTTGCTTTTTTAGCACATAATTAATTATGTATGTATAATTTTTTTTTAATTTATAATTAAAAATAAAATTATAATAAATATTAATTAAAAATTTATTTATTAGTTTTAAAACTAATTAAACAATCTCTTAATAATTAATTTCTATCCTCTCGTAGTTTTTCCTTATCAAACAACTTAATTTTATTCTATTTTGTTATCCAATTCCTTTCTCATCACTTCTCTAGTTCCTTCTATTTGTTTCCATGTCATACCATTAAGTTATATATATGATCACTTGCACAAACTTTTACTCAATCATCACATGATGTAGCTATAATGTAGCCGACAATATTTTGGCTCTGCTGCAGATACACCAACTCGACTTCACACGTCACAACCAAACAAATAACTACGGATTAATAACTTTTACATAAAAGTTAAAAAACAAAAACAAAAATACTAATGAAAAAAGTATCTAGCTATAGCCTATAGCTAGCTAATTATAAGTGAACAAAGCCACAAGATAAGTCCATGAGAAGCATTGCGGCCTCAGCTACTTCATCTCGTGGAAACACTTGTTGAAAAGTAGAGTTACCCCTCAAACTTATGGCGAAATCATTGAAATATTCAAGCTTCTTAACCCCCTCAGATGAGCCTTCAGCAGTAGTGCTAGTGGAGTACTTGTACTTGTTCTTGAACTGTGCAAAATGGTGTGTTCGAGACTTATTTTCCTTGTTATTAACTCTGCTCTTTGCACATGCTGCATTCATGGGAGTCACTAACCCATTTGCAGCTTCCGCCATTGCCCTTCTTGCCTTCCTCTGTCTAATGCCACAAGCATTGCAAAGAGACTGCACCAGCAACACATTGCATGTCACAACAAGCTACTAAATGTTTATTAATAAAGTACTAGTTGATTTTTCTAAATTAATTGTATAACCATTATTCATTTGCTTTTTTTTTAATTAATAGTAAAGATAACGAAAACTATCAAACATAAAGTTTCATGCATGCTTACCGCAATATCAAACTACTAGGCTGACTCTAATTAATTCTTTTCATTTACTTATACCTGGTTATAATATAGACTTTGTTTTGTCTAATAGTAATAAAACTATTAACATAACAAGATAAATGTTGTGGATTTACTAATGGCTTACAATATGATGTATAAACTATAAACTAATAGGATAGATTTAATTATCTGCTAGACTGCTACCTGTTAATTAGTATATTATTTTTTAATTGATAATATGTGTGTCTATATGGATAATTAAAAAATTATTAACAATAGTAGCTTTATTATAAAGGAAAGAGGATAGGGAAGGTAGAAGATTAACCTTAGGACCTTTAGGGCCACTCCTCCAAAGTGGGGTACTGCTTGTGTTACAGTCCGAACAAACCCTAGTGGTGGTGGTGTTGTTGTATTTACGAGGGCTTCTTTGGCTGTACCTGCTTTGGTGCCCTTGATTTTGGAATCTTGGGTTTGGATTGATTGCTAATTTGTCAGTGGTTGGACTCATACTCGGCCTCATCATTTTTTGCATCAACCTCATCTTTGAAGACATCCATTTCCCAGACCCGTGACTAACATTGTTTTTGCTATCTTCTGACCCTAAATTACTCTCACCTGCGCTGCTTCGATCCTCCATAACATGCTCAGCTGAAATATTGAAGGATGAGTTGCAATTGCTGCTTGATGATCCTGACCCATCATGCAGTACCATCTTTTCATCCTAAAGTAATTAAGAGATCAAGACAAACGTGTTAAATGCATATTCAGACTGCTGAAAATTTAAAAGTTGTTTTGTTATTATTGTCAATGTTTGTTTCACATTTTGTAAAGAGAGAGAAATGTCAAATTATAGATAATATGATATTCAAGAATGATGAAAATGTTAGAATTAAAATGTGATCAAAAGCCTAACTCAGTCTTAAACACTCACTTATAAATAGATGATTGTTATTCATTTATATATATTAAATCATATTTTTAGATGATGTGAAATCTTTAATAAAAAGGAGGGGAAAAATGAATTCAACGTAATATTGAGTGTGGAAAAATAAAAAAAATTTCGTTTTTGTAAGTCTTTGTAGTATCAACAAGAAAAACAAATTTGACCTAATGAAAAAAGAGACAAATGATTAATTAATTTTAAGTTGATGAAATTAATTTTTCTACGAGACATGTATATAATAAAATTAAGTTTAGAAACATGATCAGAAAGTTAGTTTTATTTTTCTTAAAGCATAATAATATCATATATAACTTTTAAAAATTTGTATAAATTTAATATAAGCATTAAGAAACTTATAATTTAATATTAAATTATTAAAACTTAATATAGAACATAATTTATTAAATAAAATAAATATATTATAACTTATTCTTGAAGTAAATAGATTTTTCCATTCTATATACATATATAAGATGTAAGGATCATAATTATCAACTGTTATAAACTACTATTTCCTCTTTTTTATAAGAAACAACTTATAACGAAAGTAGTGTCGATATATGGTTAAAACTTCCATAAGGGAGAAACATGGGGGTACATATGATCTCATGAATATATAACCGAGAAATCAAAGTAATGATAAATTTTGATCAAATATAATACATAAATTAAAAGACACTAATTAATATGAATTGGATATGATATCTTGCCTGTTGATAATTTTCTGTAAACCCTCCAATTTCTATGGTTTTCCTTGGATCAAATATGTTATAAAAGGTAGGGCAGTCTTGATTATTAGGAGAAATGAAGAGGTGGGATTGACCTTGTGTGGAAGGACCTGAACCAGGTGGGTTCAGAGAATAAGGAGTCATGGATGGAGATAAAAAAAAAGGAGAAGTTTGTTGTTAGGCAAAAATGGACAGTGAAGAGTAGAGAGAGAGGGATAGGTAACTAGGTAGGTATAGGGAAGGAATAAGAAGAGTGTGTAGTGTATGAAAGAATGAATGAGAAAGAGGCTTATGATAGAGTGGTAGAGTTCTTATAAAAGGAAGGAGAGGCTAAAAAGAGAAGAGTTGTCTGAAAGGCATTCACGTGATGGCTTTCTTATAACAAACAAAATAAATTAAGAAGAGACAAGATATCAAGAGGAGAGTGTGGCTACTCCAGAACTCCCCCAGTAAGACAAAAAATCTACATTTGACATGGAGAGAGAAGAAAAAATAACGTTAGAAAATGAATAACTTATTTGTTGCTTAGACTCCTAACGTGTTTTTGTAATTGATTTTAGATTCACACGTCACTTTTGCTAATTCAGTTTGGGGGTGTTGATGACAAGGTTTGCTTCAATTTTTATCTTAAAATTTATTTAAATTAATGAAAAAATTAAGTATGATTTTTACTGTTTGGTTTAATTTGAATAAATTATGAATTTTGAACTAAATCAGTCTTTTTTTTAATTTGATTTGGTTGGGTATGTGTAGTTTTTAAAATTTGTTTAAAAATTAATTAAAAATATATAATACTATGTAATTTGTTTTACATTGTATGTAAAAAAATACAAATATTAAAGAATTTTAATCACTTATTATATTTAACTCTAATTCTTATTTTATTATTTTGATAAAAATACTTTTTCAATACAATATTAGTTATCGTATTAATTTTTTTCATATATATAATTTGTCGTTTATAATAAAATTATTTTCAAATATCATAAATAATTTCTAATTTTTTATTTAAAAATTTAATTTAATAACTTATAATTTTATAAAATAAGTTTTAAGTAAATATTGTAACATATATTTGAGAGAAAAATACTTTTTATTATTAGCTTACAATTTAGTGTTATTTCTTATTTTATTTATAAGATCCTAATTTAAATTAATTGTTTGTTTTTTTTATAAAATTTAATTTATATTATCTCATATTAATTATTTTTAAACTGAAATATCTTCAATTAAAATATATTCTCTTAATTTAGTAAAATATATTAAATATAAATTCTTCTCATTCTAAATAATTGTGTCTTCTTTAACATATTAGAAAACTGCATTGTAAATTTTATCTATTAACTACAGCAATTATAATATTTAAGTATTAAAACATTTTCTTTCTGCAATTTAAGTATTAAAACTTAAGAGTATTTTTATTAAAAATAATATATTTATTGCTACCAATATGATCTCTATCTTGATTTAAAAAATATTTATTCATTATTATTTTAATCATTACACACAAAGAATATTTTTTAATATATGTACGTAGGCACATGTTAAAAAAATTAAATATATTGTATTTAGTCCAAGGATTGCAAAATTGGTCAATGCAATTATGCAATCACTGATGAAATATTTTTAATTACTTGAGCAAACACTGAATGAATATTATATTTGAATATAATAGTTCTTTAAATATTTTATTTGAATATTTTTTTATGACACACGTGTATTAAAAATTATCCGCTAAAAGTTCTTCACTAAGTTCATCATCACCTTTATATAGTTAACGACCCATGAGTGTTTACATTAATAGTTTATGCCTTTTACTTATATTAATATACTATCATATATTCTTCGGAGTGAAGAATTAGAAAAAGAAATTAATTTCTATACAGTAAAATTGTTCAAGTTTATACAATTATAAAATAGAAAAAAAAAGAAGAAAAAGTAAAAAAAAAATGCTAGTATATATGAAAACTTATATATATACTATATAAATAATATGACTCTATTAAAAATATCCAAAAGACGACGCTATTTTTTGGTTTAGAGTACTGAAGGCTTGAAACACATGATTTTTTTAGAGACAAAATATATATCAAAGAAAGTAAAACTAAGAAACTTGAAGCAAGTTGCATAATTTTGACTGTCTATGTGGTGACTTATTTAAATGAGAACACTTGTTTATAGGAAATAATTAATAATAATTTTTAAATTAAAATAAATAATTTAGATTATTTTTTTTATAATAATTATTATTACCATTATAATTATGATCATCGTTAACTATAATAATAATAATAGAAACAATTATAATGATAATAATTGTGGAGACTGTGGTGATATGGTTCACTAATTTGAAAATGATAATTATTCACTAATTTTTATTTTATAGTTTTAAAATTTAAAACACAAATTACATAATTTACATTAGTTCAAGTATCAAATTATATTTTAAAATTGTTAAAAAAAGTTGCTTCAAAGTACAAAGTTATTATAGAGAGGTGACGGAAAATGATATTTTTACAACAATGATTTAATAAGATCATTATTTAAAATACAATAAACAAATGTTCTTATAAGTATTCTTTCTTTTTTATTTATCAAGGAGTTTAGTTCTCTCTTATAAGCAGTGTTAATGAATAATTTTTATATATTTTAAATTTGACTGATTATTTTTTATAAAATATCTTTTCTCAACCAGATCCTCTTTATATATATATATATATAATTTTAATTTTAATTAATAGATTAAAATGGATACTTCTCACACCAATAACTTGTTAGTATAATCTGTTAACGTTGCATAATGTAACAGGTAAAGAATCATATATAATATAAAAAATTATTGGTATTAAAGAAAAGTAATGAGGTGTGATGTTTTTGGAGGTACAGGAAGGATGAAGATTACGCAGATCTGAAGAGATAGGTACTGACATGCAAGAGGGCTTCACTCCTACAAAACATCTAACGTTGCCACTGCACCCACGTCTCTATAAGACAAACACACCCTCTTAGACTTAGTCCCCACAAAATTTAAATTTTACTTAATTTTCTTTTTTAATTTTATTTTCATTACAAAATTTCAGATGATTTAATTAGGTTTTTTTAATGACAAATAAATATTTTATATATATTAATTAGTATAACAGTATGTCCCATAAGATAACATTAACATAGTTGGTAAAATTTCTTGTGTTGTAAAAAAATTGACTTTAACTTGCATAGAATGTAATACAAGTTGTACAACTCGTGACATATAAAGTATATTATTAGATATAAGTTTAGAAGAATTTTTTATTAAAAAATAATTTATTTTTAGTAGATAAACTCTAAAAAATGTTTTTAGATTATATCTAAACATGCTTATTTAGAGGTTCTACATAGAAAGGCTAAAGAAGATGTGGGTTCCCTTGTATAATTTGTAGAGGTAACATAAGCTATAAGACCACATAACCCCATCAACTCTATAAGGTGCAACTTGACTCCATGTCGGTTTGTATAATAATGCATACGACAAGTATATGAGAAATTGACTGTCCGTGTGTTTGCATTCGCGTTTTAACGTGATTTTTCAGTTCAACTTGAAATAATGAATAACTGTTTTTACGTAAATCCGTATGTAAACGTGGAAAGAAACAAAAGAATTGCGTTTCAAAATGAAAAGCAAACACTGCATCTCAAGGACACTTGTTGTCATTGTTTGACGGCTGCACTCTCCTCTAATTAATACTTTGTTTTGTTCATAATATATATTCAAAAACTCCCTTCAAATGAAATAAATGAACTTTTGTAGGACTCTAATATTTTATATGAATTTTAAAATTTCCTCCTCTTCTTACTATTTAACTAGGTTTAATGTGCAATCCAAACACTTGATCTGTAACCCAAACAACGAGCTTCCCCATAATAAAATATAGCGATTGAAAGAGTATTAGTATGTTAAAAACACACTAAATATAATTATGTATGAGTGATTATACATTGACTAATAATAAAGTATCTCAATTCTATCTATGGGATGGTAGGTCACAATTCACATGACACAGGACTCATGAGCAATCAATGATTACATTCTCCTTGAGAGTTGGGATGGCAGAGTGAAAATGACCCTTCCACTCACACCAACCTTCCATTTTAAGTGATGGCTCCCAAACATTCCACCAAAGCTATTAATTATAAATTATCCAATACCTTCTATAATTATGATTCCGGTTAAAATACTTTTTTACTTATTTTATATTTCATTCTTATAATTTTAAATAGATTTTCAAATTTTTATATTTATCTTTTTTAATTTTCTTAATTCCTTTAGTTCAAAATATTTTTTTTAGCTTTTATAATTGTATTTTTTAATTACTGTAGACTTTGCTATTAATTTTTTAATATTCACTTTTTTTACATAACATAAATATTCTATATATTTTATATTAAATTTATTTAATTGAAATTATTATAAATAGATTGATGAATATTTTGTGACTTTTTTTAATATTTATTAACGATATTAATTATTAAAATATCTTCTTCTTTTTTTATGAAATTAGAAATATCTACTATGTCACATAAAAAGGAAAAGGTTGTAAAAAAAATTTAATGACAAAAAATAAAATTAATTAAAATAAATAAACATAGAAAAAATATGTCTTAATTATATAGAAATTAAAAAAGATTAGTAAAAATAAATATAAAGATTAAAAATATTTATTTAAAATTATAAAAAATAAAAAATAAAAAATAAAATAAATAAAACTATAAAGATTTAAAAATATTTTTTTGAGAGGATTTAAAAGTATATTTAATCATATATATATATATATATATATATTTATATTTACATATACGAGGATATATTTCTCTCTTATTTGTTTGATCTGATTTGGTTGCTATATGAGATTTCATGGTAGCATGTTTTAACCCAGAGTAATGCTATTTCTTTCAGAAAATAAAAAAACAATACCTGAAAAATTATCCAAATGACACTTGTCAATTAACATGTTTTACTTTTCAAAATTTTAAGATGTCTTAGAATGTTTGGGAGGATGTAGGTTACAACTCTTACCATTAAGAGTTATGATAATGACATGTGTCTTTTTTTGTGATAAAATATTCAAGTGTTAATTATTTTTCTTTATATAGTTTTTAATATTTTCTCGTACATAAAAAATAGTGCTTTTTTAATTAAATTTTTAATCAATTGACTTTGTTAGTTAAAATTTTTATATTGATTTTATTTTACTTATGATTAATATGATAATTCAAGATTAATATAATTTTATACTTATTATTATTATTATTATTATTATTATTATTATTATTATTATTATTATTATTATTATTATTATTATTATTATTATTATTATTATTATTATTATTATTATTATTA